GCTCTGTGTCAGGGGTCAAGTTCAATAATACTGATGCAATATGGACAAGATTGGCTTAGAAAACTGTGCATGAATGGACAAACCAAACAAACAAATGGAACAATGCTAGTTGTACTAAAATGTACACGGTTTTTCTGCTGTAATGGTAGAAACATTTGGCAATTAGTTATTATCATTAAGGAAAGATGGCTGATATGTTTGACAATTAAAATAAAATTCATATTAAATCTGAAACTTAAATTCAGCTAGTATCATTTTTTTCTTTTTAAGTGATAAAATAGGCAATCAGTTTAATAAATTTGCATTTTGTCTCTTTCACAGAAAAAAAATCCTTCCAGCAACAGATTCTTTTATGTAGGCAGTGCATTTTTGACAAGAGAGCTTGATGGTGGTGCCATCTAGTGTCCAAAGTATGATGGTTTTAGTTCTAATCATTTGGGTTGTATTTATACAAAAATACAAAACATATAAAACATATATGAAATTCACTTCTAAGAACTTAAATGTGGCAGCTTCTCTGAAGCAGTTTAACATAATACACATGTATCTTTATTTAAACAGGAAATCTCAGATAAAGATGTATTTTGGATGAGTGACTGGCAGCAGATTAAAAAAAGGCAAATAACTTATAATAAATAAGAGCACTGGGAGATTGGAACTCCTGCGAAAGGGAAAAGGCAAAAACTTTGTTTTATGAATATTTTATTACAACATGTTAACTTTAACCCGTTATATTACCATTGTGATGTCGTGAGGTGACATACTGCATGGAAAAAAATAAAAATTTGTTGTACAGCTGTTTGTGATGGTTCTCAGTCATCCAGGAGCTTGGAAAGAAAGCAACAAGATTTCCAGTTGCTTTCTTTCCAAGCTCCTTAGACTACTATGACAGCCAACACAAACATATTGCCTTGCACTTTTATGAGGAACAGCCTTCAGGTGGTGTGGCAATAAAAGAGGATCAAGATGTGTTTTACAGCTCTTTTCATGTCCTTTCAAATGAGATGTTTACTCAATATGATTTCTTGATTTTTTTCCCCAAGGTGAGTTTGATCTTCAGACATGAAGCCAAGGTCAAATGCTTATTCAACTTAGGTACTCATGTCCCCCAAGGCCTAGTGTATATATATTCATTAAAAAATTGTGGGTAACATAAAATCTTTGCTCATTATCACATTTGGTTTGACTTTGATGTGATTTTCACCTAAATTAAATCAACGTGAGCTGTTATTGGTATCAGCCTTCACACAAAATTAGAACACAAGATCTTAAAATCTCTGGATGCTAAACTGCTAACAAACACACAAACAAATACTGATTACCAGAGATGTAATCCGATTACCTAAGGGATTACTATTGCAAAAACGGTAATTAGGTTGCCGTTACTTTCCTGTAGGAACGCTGCGTTACCGCTTTACTAAAACCCGTGAGTTTTTTGCGAGAAATTCTCATGACAGTGACGTAAGCGAGTACGATGTTCATGACAACAGCTGTGTGCAGATCAACAATGGATAATAAATGGAGTGCGGAGAGATTATGAGCATGCAGCGTTTAAAGCGTGGAAGTACTGACCTTACTTTGAGTTTGATTCCATAAAAAGTGACAAAAACATTAGCGTCCATCGTGCGTGGGAAGAAAACTTCTTTTTACAGCGAAAAAAAACCCCTAAACTTCCAAGCAAGCACCGAGTGCGCTACCACGTATTTCCGTACCACGGAAATTCACAGAGAAACTCACGGATTCTTCCACTGACCGCCGCGGCACACCTGCACCAGGGCAAACCTCCGCCTACAACACTCCTGCTTTACGGGTGAAAATAGAGCAACAGGACCGCTGAGTCTTTGATTTTATTTATTTTCTGCTGTGTTTTACTTGCATCTATTTGAAAGAGTGAGTGTAAACACACAAAAAATATTTTATTTTATGTGCTGGAATGTGCAGAAAATAGGTTTAAATGTTAAACTAATTTCTTCCAGTCAGAGAATGTTGCATATAATTAAATTTTTGCTTGATGCATAAAGTTAAAAGATTAAAACTAATAAAACAAGTTTTAAAAAGAGACTTTTCCATTTGATTACATTTTGTATGATGGATTATGCAGAAAAAGTAGAATTGGGCTTTATCAACTATTCAGGTTGTAAATCGTGTTTTTAAAAAGTAGCTAAGTAACTAAGTAATTAATTACTTTTGAAAATAAGTAATCAGTAAAGAAACGGGATTACTTTTTGGAGAAGTAATCAGTAATTAGTTACTGATTACTTTTTTCAAGTAACTTGACCAACACTGCTGATGACACACTCTCTCCTTTCAAGAGAGAAAAAGCCAATAGAGACATAATGAAGACAGACACATACAACACAGATAGACATAATCATTCGAGCCAAAATGTTCAGGTGCTCCTGACCCTGCTTTTTATCAGTGCTTTTTAAGGATTGAGAGTAAAAACAAACTTTGCAAATAAAATGGAAATCAAAATAAAATAGAGACTTAAAAAAGAATACAACAGTCTTTTTGTCTCTTCCTCTTAGTTGGTAACTTTTTTTCTCCAGAGCTGTATTATCATCATGCAGAGCTGCAAAACTCTGTCCTAACAGGTTCATGTGTTATTATTTTATAGGCTTATGAGTAGTTTTTGTCAGAATGATCAGTCAGCTAATGTGCCTCTTCTTTTTGCTTTTAATAAGAATATGAGATGTTACCTATTTTATTATAGGGGTATTGCATATTGTTTAAAAGTAGCACATAATCACTTAAACTCAAGTGAAATTAGTGTAAATTAGCTAGTTAGCCTAACTGCTGATTTAAATATTTTGCTGTTCACACACTTGGATACGCTCTTGTTTATCATTCAAAGCTTCATGTGTTTCATATCAGCTTCTCAGCAAACTGGTCACCCAGCAATAATGCAAATATCTGTCATACACACATATGCTACAAGCAACCTTTAACACGAAAAAAATTAATGTTACCTCATTCTCCCCTGTAGAGGAGGGAGCATGTAATCGTTTTCTGTTTCTTTTCTGTCTGCCTGTTTGTTAATAGGCTTAGGTTGGCTAAGTGTTTGAATTTGACCTTCATTGTTAGCACCCAAGGTCAATGTTCACCTAAAACACAAAACAAAAAGACCCTCAAAAAACCAAATAAAGTGCAAGTCACAGTCCAAGTTTAATCTACATTGTGTAAAGCAAAAGAAACATACTGACAGACTTATATATATCATATATATGGAAAGATATGGAGAGCGATGTGCAACACACTTAAAAAAAAACGTGCCTTTTTGACATCATAATGATTCCATAACATTTTGCAAAATCTTAAATGCAGAAATATATCTAATAATTGTAAGTACACCTCATAGAGGCTGAATAATCAGTCACACGATCATACATTTCTGTCTGGTGTTGTAATTAAATCATGTCACGAATCTCAAAAAGAAACACAAACAGCAAAATCATCAGAAGGGTCCCAAAAAATGGTACTTTGAGAAGATGCCATGTCAGAAGTAACGAGATGAAAACAATTATCCACAAGTCACAATCATTTCTTATCCACTCTAATAAATTGAATATTTTTTCTATTAACCATTCTACCCATTTTACCCATTCTGGTACGCTATCATCACCTAAGGATCTTCTAACTGTTAATTCCACATTTGCTGCTGGCCTTCCAGCTCTTCCTGTGTCTGGAGCGTCTGCAGAGATGCTGTTGTTAGCCTTATTGTGGGTGTCTCCTTGTGGTAACATCTTGCTGGTGTAGCGCCAATCTTTGTTTTCTGCAACTATCTGATCTACTGTGTTGAGCAGCTCTGTAACCTGGGACTGGTTGCTGATCTTGTCACCCTGTCTGTTGTATTTATTAATGATGTGGTATCGGCTCTTGCATTTCCTCATTAGATCACTCAGATATTCATTCTGATCTATGAACGCTTTGATCTTCATTTCATCTGAGTCTGGTCCATCCTGAATAAAGACAACTGCAGCATATTTGAAAACTTCCTCTGAGAAATACTGGCTTATTTTCTCAATAACAGCCTTCTGTTGCTGCTGCTCTGTGGATTTCTCCACTTTGAGCACAATGAGAAAAGCATGAGGCCCTGGAGTGCACTCAGTGATACACCTCAATATTTCAGGCTTCAGCTCCTCCTCTGATCTACCTGGGTCTGAGAAATCAGGAGTGTTGATCAAGGTAATCTTTCTTCCATGGAGAGATTTGGACTTAGTTTGGCATTCAGTGTTGTTAACTATAAATGCATCTTCTCCAAACATGTTGTTTTCTAGGCTCCTTTTCCCAGCTTCACTGTCTCCCAGCAGAACAATCCTGTACATTTTTTCCACTGAAAGGAAGTGAAGACAATAAATAAATAGCAATATTTGGTTCTATTATTGGAGGGAAAAGAAAACAGAAAGGATAAACGTTACAAGTCAGAAACTTGACACTCCTGGACTACTCTGAGTTATTCCTCTGTTGTAACAGAGCAAGTTTGGTTACTTAAGGAATACAACTGAGTCACACTCATAACTTCTCAAAGATGTTGTTACCTTCGAGGTACTTTCGAGCCTGAGCTGTTTTTCCTTTTTTGGATGGAACTAAAAAAGCAAAATGAGCAAGAATAACATTATTCAGTTTATTCAGGACTGTTTATTCATATTGTCACATCAGTTAATTTACTACATTACATAGAGAGGAAATAGTTAATCATACATTCCATAGATTGTATTGCTTAATGATACACACAGAAACACAAATACAAATACACACAAAGAGAGAAAAGACAAACTCAAAGCTCGAGTCTGTGTGAGCATGCAAAAAACAAACATTCAAGTAATAATCTGTTTTTATGCTGATTCTGGAGTTTGGCTTTTTATTTTGGATTGGTCTGCATTTACTCAGATCAAAAAGGTAATGTCACCTGGTTAACAGAATAATTCAGTGATTCAAGCTTCACAAATACCCAAAATGATTTGTCATTTCTTTAAACAGGCTGTGTGGGTCCATCGAAACCAATAACATTTTATCTAAAATATGTAGATGTTATATCTGCAGAAGTTTAGCATTAAAAGGACTCACCGGGCATGTTGGTTGAAGTGAATCAGCAAAGAGCAGAGCTTGATAACTGTTGTGTGTCTTGTTGTTTTTGACCTACCCTTCTCCAGGTTAGTTTCACCGGCTGTAAGAAATATTTGGGGGTGTGGATAACCGGAGATTTCCCTTTACAAGGAAACACAATGTAAGCAACATTTTGTTTCCTCTTTGCATTTATAAAGTCTTAAAACAAATAACTTCAATGTCACTCATTCTGTTTCCTTGTTGAGATTTAAGTTTTTCTTTCAGTCTTTTTAGTAGCCAATCTTCCAGTCCTGGTATTCTTCCAGGACTTCAAATAAGAAAAAATGCACTGAAATTATCGTTGTTTCTCTTTATAAACATGAAGTAAGGATTTTGAATAAAATGCAAACGAAATAAATAAGATCAAATGTTTATTTATTGAAATAGATGACCATTAAGAAAAATACGACGGTGTGTACTAAAGTAAAACCAAGTAAATTTCGTTTGACCTGATAATAATATTTTTTTTTGAAAATGTACATGTAATATAATGACTGAAATTCCTGATTTTGCCATGAATGGTTTTTGCACAGTGCTGTTGAAGTCCTGCCAGCTGAGGCCTCGACTTTGACAGCGCTATGAGAGCACCTTGATTTTTTTTCTTTTCTAGCTATTCACTTTTTCTTCATTTTCCTGTTGCATGACTCAATTTCTATCACATTTTAACTGTTGGACAGATGGCATCACGAACTTTACTCTTGAGTGCTTTGACATACAGAGGTGTTTACTGTCAAATCAATAACTGCAAAGTTTCCATTTCTTGTGTTTGTGAAAGAAGCCCAACTCATCACCGGTCCACCACTGTGTGGTGCTGTGACGTGTTTATGCTGATATGCTGGGTTTGGATTTCATCAAACGTCGCACGGCTAACGCCTCCACCTCAGTCTCTTCTGTCCTTCTATCCAAATT